ACCACAATACTGATAAGTGATTAATAAAAGTCAAAAGACCAAAGAGGTCACCTTAATACCAAAAAAAAAAAAAAAAAGATTCAGAATTGTATTTTCTACAATATAATTAGATAATAAAAAACAGTTTTATATATTTTTAGTAAACTTATACAATTATATACAATATTATGCAAAATTATACTTAAAACTTTGTTTGATTTATAAATGAACTTTTTAAGAAAAATATATTAAAATGCTTTATTTATATTTTAATATAAATAAATTATAAATTATTAATATTATAAATTTTGTTTCAAATAAGAATAGTGATTTTAGTATAGTTATTGGGTTGTCATCTTTTAAGCAATAGTTTTAGAGTTCAAATTCTATTGGCAATAGAATTTTAAAAAATAGTTCTATTCAAATAACTTGTTTGGAGTATTTGAGGTTGTAACTCTGTAATTCTGATTGTATTAAGACTAATTTTGAGAGCATATAATTTCATATAAATAAATTTAGAAAGTATATTCTCTATAAGAAGCTTTGTTTGAAAATCTAAGTAAAAAGGTAGTATAATCTTTAATAATACTATTTGTAGAAATTTTAATCTAAAAATAAAAATCTAGAGTAGATGATCTGTATAGGCAAACTCTAAATAAAAAAGTCTACTAACTACTAGTTGAACTGAGTATGAAGTCAAATTATATAAACTAACTGAATTAGTAATATAGAAAAACTTACAAAAACAAACAAAATACTAGTAAAGTTGTAAAGAAGAGTACTAGAGTAGTATAAACTTTACAAGAATATATAGTTTAAGAGTTATTCTAATAGCAAGTATTGGTCTCAACTATAATAATACTGGGTTAACTAAAAATTAAATAACAAAAGGCTTTAGTAGATTTAATAAAAGATCAAAGGTTCTTTATATGAGATAACTATTTTAAAAACCTAGTAATTATAATATATTTGTATTATTAAAAATTAGGCAATTAGTAAAATAAGTAAATGAATAGATACAGAAACTAGAGAGTTTAAATAGAGGATTTATAAGCAGGTTCTAAATATGGCAGCTACTGTAAATTGCCATATAGAGTATCTGAATACATTACATTCCACTACCAAAAACCTATAATGTACCTAGAGGGATACATTACAAGAAAAGAGGGTATAGTAATTGGGAGTATAGTAGTAGTAGGTATATAAACAAAAGGTTTGATTATTGATTTTGATTTAATCACAATGGCATATTTGCACAAAAAGTAATGATAATTCATGATGATATAGAGGTAGCAAATAAATATGTTTAGTATAAATAAGTTGGAAAAATGTTTTTTTTTGTACTCTAAAAATTTTAACTTGGACAACCTAAGTTTTCAATTTACAAAAATCAAAAAAAAAAAACTTATTTTATTAGAAATTTGTTTCAAACATCTGCTTATAACTAAAAAAAAAAAAAATCGATGCCTTATCTTGACAACCAGCTACCTCAATCTTAAAAAAAAAAAGTAAGAAACAACCTATTAGAAGTCTGTTTTAAACATGCACTTCAAGCCTTTAGGCTTTATAAAAAAAAAGTAGAAGCCTTATATTTAATATTTAGCCTAACACCCTGTTTAAAAGTCTAGTCTAATACCTTAATTTTATTAAAATTAGTATAATTTTTTATTACAATAATCTCTATTTCACTATGGTTAGCAGAGCTATAATAATATAGTTTTGAAATTTTATTTATAAAATTTGAGAATGATATGATATAGAAAAAAATTGAAACAAGCTAATATTACAAAAAAAAAAAAAAAAGAAGTTGGAATGCTCATGAGAAACTGGCTATTATCGCATATATTAAAAAGAATTCTAATGCCAGTAAGCAAAATACTGCTAAACAATTTAATATACAACTAGTCCAATTGCATAAATGGATTAAAAACAAAGAACAGCTAATAAGTTTTTTACCACATATTAGATGATTAAATACCAGAGAACATGTAAAATATACAATATTAGAGACTGACTTTGTATCTTAAATAAAATACTTACATGTAAAACAAAAAGTAGTATCCCAATACATAGTTAGAACCAAGACTTAACAACTAGCCAAGCAAATACATTATATTTCACTTTATTTAAAAATTCATGAATGCAAATGAAGTAATAAGTGGCTAGACAGGTTTATAAACTATTATCAACTAAGCAACTATTGCAAAACCACAGTTTTACAAAAATTACCAGCTGATCTTGAAGAACAAAGATATTTGTTTTTAAATTTTGTGTTATATAGATGCATACAACATGATTACCCTCTTTTATTAATAGGCAACATAGATGAAACTCCTTTGTTCTTTGACATGCCTTAAATTATACTATTAATGAAACTGGTGCTAAAACGATTGGAATTTATACAACAGAATATGAAAAGTCCAACTTCACAGTTGTACTTAGTTAATGGCTGATGGAAAAAAATTTCCATCAGTAATAATCTTCAAGTTAGTAAATATACCATGACAAAAATTTCCACCTGACATTATTATTCAAACCAATTCTGAGGGATATATAAATTCAAATAAGATAGTTTAGTGGATTGAAAATGTTTGAAATAAATAATCACTTTTGTCTGTCAAACTTTGTTCATTGCTAGTTTTAGATTCATTCCTGGGCCATCTTATGACTGAAGTTAAAAATTGATTCTATGAAAAAAACACCAATATAGCTGTAATTCCCAGTAGATTAACTAACAAACTGCAACCATTAGATGTCTATATCAATAAATTGTTTAAGAATAAGGTATTTATTATTGTCAAGAATGATGCTAAAATTTGATTTATTTTAATCTGAAGTTTTAAAATTTTTTTGAAGTGTTTTTTTAAGCTTTTTTGAGTTAGGTTAAAGTTAATATTTATAATAAAAGAGTTTGGTAAATTTTAGTAGAGTTTATATTTATAAATTGAAACTCTAAATTTCAGTATCATTTCTGACATTTATTAATTAGTAATCATAGTTTTTTTTTTTTTTTTAACTTTTAGTGAAATGTTAATTTTATTAATTAGTATTGCAAGTGTTATAATGAATGGATGGCAAATAAAATTTTAAATTTAACTCCTTCAGGCTATATCCAACATTCTTCATATAGTCAAGTAGCTAACTAGATAAAAGCTGCATAGAATCAGATTGATTCTGCACTTATTGTATAGACTTTTAAGTGTTGTGGTGTTTCTATGACCAGAGATGGATTAGAAGAAGATAAAATTTTCAACTATGAGTAGGTTAAGAATCCAGAAAATCAACTTAAAAATAGTGATTATGTATTTGAAAGTTTAGGAAAAACAAGCAATAATGTGGTTACCAATAGTTTAATTCAAGATGTAGATAACGACGAAGGTAATAATAAAAGTTTTTGTGATCTAACTTAAGATGTGAATAACAATGAAGGTGATCATGAAAGTTTTTGTTTTTTTTTTTTTTTTTTTTTTTGGTATTAAGGTGAGGTTTTGCCTTTATCTTTATTAATAATTTGTTACGGGCAAC